TTGATGGGATGTTTAATTATAACAGATGAGTGCGTCGTAATTTAATATGTTATATTTTTTTAAAATATCGCGTACGAAAATATACGAAAATAATATGTACGCGCGTACATTATAGATTTCCTTAGTACTTTCGTATGCAATATTTTTCAACAGCACGGGCCCTTGTGTTCCGAAATCCTGTTTTTATTTCCCGACTTCTTATTATCACAAATTTTAATAATTATCTTTGTTTTCCAGGATAGTGAATACTCCATACGAAGTTGTAATGGCAGAAGATATCACTTGCAGATTGCTGTGCCACAAGCCATCCAAGTTGATGACTTGGGACGAAGCCAATTCCCAGCACGTTATCCAGATGGTTCAGCATGAATATTTCGTGCACTTGTTAGAATCTTATTATTATATGTAAAGCTGGGATCACACGATGCTTGATTTCTTGAATGCTAAATATGCACACATGCTGCTATAGCTATATACTTACTATATACTTACTTCGAGTGCATTTGGAGAGACGCTATTTTACGCCCGTTTTACGTGTAATAAACGATAAAGAGACAAAATGACAAAAGTAGCGCTAATAGCGTCTCTTCGAATAAACATAGAAATAAACATAAATAATATAAATAACATTAACATAAATAATATAATAATGAACACAAATCATATATACCAGCGCGTATCATGTTTAATTCATAAACATATTCCAGCATACATCAGAGTAGCAGCTTGCATGTTTATCATTCAAGAAATTGAGTATCGATGTGATTCCAGCTTAACAAGAAAATGCGTTTGCGTCATCTACATTCTGGATTTTTCCAGGTTGATAGATAATTTACCAGCAGCTACTAGAAAGAAGCACAAAGAAACGAATAATGTGGTCGTTTATCAAGGGTATCGCCTAGGTGGAATTATGAACGATCAAGTGTACATCAACAATTATCTTAAGCTAAAATTAAGCTATCACAAACACGGCGAGTTAGTATCTATTCCGTACATTTGCAAAAGAGTTCACATAACTGAGGAAACCCCACAGAAATGATAAAATGATAATTTTGTTTACAGAAACGAATTTAGAGTAGTCGGATTCGAGGTGGAAGCTCGATCTATCGACACATCTCAATTGACATTCGACGGGAATACTTGTATTTTACCGAGCGAGGCGAGTCCGCAGTTTGTTAATCCGAAGGGCACGAGTCTCCTCTTCCTGTACTCTGTGGAGTGGAAACAGTCAGACGTCAGCTGGGCGAGTAGATGGGACGTGTATCTCGGCATGAGCGACGTAGAAATCCACTGGTTCTCGATTATTAATTCTCTTATTGTCGTCTTCTTCTTATCTGGTGAGAGAGAATGCGATAATTATGATTGTGAGCTTTTGGAAAAAAGGCAAAATAAAATTTTCTTGGGATGTTTCACTTGATCTGTATAAAAATGCATTGTTATTCGTCAGGCGCTTGAGATCGTCAAATATATAAATAATAAAATATACAGGGTGTCCCGAAATAATCGCCAAATATATCATGGGCAGATAGAGTGGACTAAACTAAGTCGAAAAATCCTCTATCATTTTGCAATTTCGCAATAATTAACAAGATATTAAATAAAAATTTCCGAAAATTAGTCTTCAATAATCTTTTACTCAAATACATCAACTTTACAGAAAAACTGCAAGAGACAAAAATTGTTTATTTTCTTCTCATAGAACTCTAAGAATTTTTTCAGAAATTTTTAATATCGTATTTTCTCATGTTGGTAAAAATAAGAAAATGCACTAAGAAGTTGATAAAAAATTCTTAGAGCTCTATATGAGAAGAAAATAAATAATTTTTGTCTCTTGCAATTTTTCTGTAAAGTTGATAGTATTAATATTTGAGAAAAAAATTATTGAAGATTAATTTTTGACAATTTTTAGTAATTAATATCTTGTTAACAATATCTTTATTTTAGAGCGTCCTAAGTCATTAGACCACCGAGGCTTAGGACGCTCGTACGAAATACAAGAGATCCGGGTTCAAGTTCCGGCCGAGGTAATATTTTTCGCAATAAATTTATTAACAGTTTTAACATATTAACATCTTTATAATATATGATGCTTGATGGTAGCATCAAATTATTAAATTGCTTGTCAATTTAATTCGCGATTACTAGAGTAGTTTTAATTGCGTTTATTTAGTCCGGAAAAATAATTCGGCGCGCAGTTTGAAAAAAACTATAATATGGTATATATGCAAGTACATATATATAGTATATATTAGTAATTCAAGATTGAATTATTTAAGCAACGAAGATCCAGCTTCGACTGTAATAGGCATTTTAAATTTCTAGTATTGGTTGAATATCTTGTTAACTATTGCGAAAATTTCAAAATGTGGTAAAGGACTTTTCTGCTCAGTTTAGTCCGCTCTACCTGCCCATGAAATATTTGGCGATTATTTTAGGACACCCTATATAAGTATATAATTATAAAAAATATATAATGTAAAAAATATATAGTGTAAAAAATATGAATATATAATTATGAAAAAATATAAATATATAAGTATATAATAATGAAAAAAAATTAATAATTTTGCTGTACTTTACAGAATTTAAGATGTTAATTTCTGGATATGTATTCATTACAGGAATTCTTACGATGATCATGGTAAGGACGCTCAGAAGGGATATAGCCCGTTACAACGCAGGTGAGAGTGATAGTCTGGCAGGTTTGGACGAAACCATCGAGGAGACAGGCTGGAAACTGGTCCACGGAGATGTATTTCGACCACCAAGCAACTCGCGCTTATTCGCCGCCGTGATCGGCAGTGGCATCCAGATATTTTTCATGGCTCTGATTACGATATGTAGGAATACATTGAATCCTATCAATGCAACGTAGAGTATAGCGAGTGTATGTTTGTTTACACCCGTCTGTATTTCTGCAGTCTTTGCGATGCTGGGAATGTTGTCGCCGGCGAGTCGAGGAGCCTTGGGCACCTGCGCGATATTTTTGTACGTGTTCTCTGGTTTAATCGCCGGCTACTTCTCGGCCCGATTGTACAAAACTATGCGGGGTCGAGAGTGGAGAAAAGCAGCTTTACTGGTAAAAAACATAAACTGTGTATCTATCTAATAAAACATGAATTATGCTCGTTTCTATCAATGTAGGTTAATTTTAATCTCTCTTTAGTTCTAGAGATTAAAATTAAATCTTAACATTGGTAGAAACGGGAATTAGTCATATAACACGAATATATTTTTCTGCGCAATTAACTTCTATATTTTTTCCCAATTTATTAACGAAAGTATATCCTAGTTTCTAATGTACAAATATTGATTGCAGACAGCGACATTCTATCCAGGTATAGTCTTCATAACGTGTTTCTTCCTAAATTTCTTCATATGGGGGAAGCATAGCTCCGGTGCGGTCCCCTTCACCACGATGGTAGCCTTGCTGTGCCTCTGGTTCGGCATTTCGCTGCCTCTCGTCTATCTTGGTTACTTCTTTGGCTATCGCAAGCAGCCCTTTACGCATCCAGTTAGAACGAATCAAATTCCCAGACAAGTTCCTGACCAGCTATGGTATATGAATCCAATATTGTGGTAAGTTTAGAAAGATAATTTAATCGATTTTTCTATTTCTTCTACTTTACGTTATTAATACGAAAATAGTCACTGGGGTGTTTTTATATTTATGCACTCCGCTATTCGCGACTTTAACGTAGATTGTAAGTTTATCTCGTCCTTCGATTAATCACGAAAACTCTGGTCGCTCTTGCCATCTAGATATACTTATACATTTATATATTAGCATTTTTTTAAATTAATATAATACATAGTTAATAGAGTAATTTTCTATTATTAAATATTAATAAAGGAAATATTACTTGTAGCACTCTAATGGCTGGAATCTTACCATTCGGCGCGGTATTCATAGAACTCTTCTTCATCCTAACTGCACTCTGGGAAAATCAGTTTTACTATCTTTTCGGATTTCTATTCCTCGTTTTCTGTATCCTTGTAATTTCGTGCTCGCAGATATCAATAGTCATGGTCTACTTCCAGTTATGTGGCGAAGTAAGTATAACGAGAAAATTAATTACAAAAAAATCTCATTTAATATTCAATGCGATATTTGATCTTTTTTCTAAGAATTATTTTTAATTTAAACTTTGAACTCAGTTCTATGTTGTATCCTCAACAGTTTAGACTTAAATATATCTTTCTTGTTTTCTTGATTCATAAAATTTCTGTTCTTTTATATGTGATAGATATTTTTATTTTTCATGCTTTGACGTTTTAATTCCAGGATTACAGGTGGTGGTGGCGCAGCTTTATCGTGAGCGGTGGATCCGCAGTCTACGTGCTGGCGTATTCCGTTTTTTATTTTGTCACCAAACTGAAGATCACCGAGTTAGTGCCGACCCTCATGTATTTCGGCTACACCGCGCTGATGGTCCTCACATTCTGGCTACTGACTGGCACGATCGGTTTCTTCGCCGCGTATGCCTTCATCAGGAAGATATACGCGGCCGTCAAGATAGACTAGTCAAAATTATCATTAGTAGAGTAATGCGAATAAATTTAGACTTTTAATTTAACCGAGCGAGAAAGAGGGGGAGAGATAGGGAGCGAGCGAGAGAAAGAATGAGAGAGAGAGCTGATATTTCGTATTGTGTAGAAACGATAAGTGAAATGAACATCTCAATGGATGCATCTCATCTTCCACGAAATTTCGAAACTGCGAACGTTGCACAGAATTTTGTGATTAACGTGTACGAATATTTAATGTATTGACATTAAGGTTTCTATTTGTCTATTCTTTTGCATCCGTTATAATAAGTGTAAGCTCCATGTTCGTTGCCCAGGATTTGAAAAACCATCGTGAATATAAAAATTAAAAGTAACAGGAACAAAAATTGAATATTGAAAGCACATTTTCAAGACAACATATTTTGTTTTCCTCTTATTTGTTTTCATTCATTTTCCTTTAAACTAAATATTGTAGCAAAAAGAAGACTAAATATTTTTATTTTAAGAAAAAATGTATTATTTTTGCTATTTTTTTTTTAATGGGAAGAAATAAGCTTTTTGTATTCGTAAATGTATACAAAATACACGCATGAAAAAGGCACGAATATGGAGTACCAGTGTATAATAAATCTATTTTATTTATGATTTTTAAGTTCTTCCGTAAGTACTTATAATTTGACATACACACACACACACACACACACACACGAAAAAATAATTGATCTGTTCCACGAATGTTGGCTATATCAATAATGATCCTTTTTGAAGGACAAGGAACTCTGTAAAAATATTCAAGTAATGTGATATTAGTAACAGTCAATGTGTGAAAGTATTATATAGCCGATAAAATGAGCCAGTCTAAAGTGTTATCGTTTTCTTTAATGTAAGAACACAACATGCAGTATCGCAACTGTCTCAATCGATCATTATATAACAAGCGCAGTAAATGAATAATAATATAGTTTGTAAAATATTTACATTCAGTACAAGTACATATTTTCATTCTTCAACTTTTGGATGTCATTATCGCAAACTTCCGCGCGCCCAGTTCCGCTAAGATTCGACTTGTCATTTTTTTTATAACACACGTCGATACTTATATAAAATCCTTTAGTAAATGTGTCTCGAGTTCTCCGTAATAGAATTCTATGTACATCGAGATATTGACATCGTTAGAATTTACAATATATCACAAAGTGTTTTATACTATTACTATTGTAAATAATACGTGATGGCTAGCGTGTACGAAAGGTATATACAGATATGTCCTAAATTCGACAATTACACCCTCCATGGATCTGCATTGTATATAGAATTATTATACGCTCACGTACGAACGTGTTAATCAAGTTAGTCAAGGCATCTTCTCAAGCGCGAGTATGCATGCCGCCTCGGCCTGAATTTTATAATCAAATATATCAGTATGCACAGGAGACTACATGTATAAATAACGTTCACAGTAGATTCCACGGGCATGTAGCACTTGGAGACAGAATAATTGCTGGGAGTGAAAGTACCCTGAAACAGAAATGATTCTCATAGATATATTATATCCCAACGCAGGGATAATTAACTCATTAAGAGAAAATCATAATGATAATATAAAGAATTCCAGTTAAGCATATTATGCCCTTATATTCTGAAGATCCCAGTCTAATACCAAAATCACTAAATAGTTATTAAAAGAATCCCATGCCCGGAAGTCAGATAATAAAAAGTTGGAGAAATATTATTTATCACAATATTATTTTTGGCAAATAATAAATAATACTCCTTAAATTAGCGATATTTTTGTATCATATTTTTATTCCTTCGTTTTATAGCTGAACTTATAATGTTCCCAAAAATGAAGAATTGATTATTAATGAGTTAACATAAACATATAAAAATTAAGATTTACCATCAGGAGAGATGGGTTGACTTTATTGCGCCAACTGAAAGACGAGATCGTGAATTCCAGAATGTTATCCCGATGTATCCTCCTGCAGCCGTGATGTGTGTGACCGGCGACGATCAGTCGCGGATTCAATATATCTAGAAGCTACAAAAATCGAGTTTCATCTTAATGTCGAACACGTGGCTGCGCCATTTAATGAAGTAAATGTACCTGCTCCGATGCTTCTTTCGACAAGCATTCCCAACGTTCCCGGAACTTGATGGCCTTCAACTCGTCGGGAGCCTGATCCAATTCGTTGCAGATCTCATCTGATTCTCGATACATCGGATAATGCTGGAGAAGAGGCGATACTTCTGTTAATCTTTCAAACACAATTTTTTCTTCGATAAATTTAAAAGTTAGTATTGCGATTCTTCAAAATTTCTAGTTCCTATGCTATCTGTGAAAATATTTTATTTACGAATTAGGAAGACTGACTTGCAGTAATATGGGCCTGCTGTATCTGGAAATCGCACTGGCATTGTAACAATCGTTGCCGATTCTTCTCGCACATTTCAGATCCTCTGCAATATAATATACATGTAAACTTGATAATTAATCAGTTACGAAATTACATGCTACACTCAGAGAAGCAGACATTAGTCTATAATAATTCAGATCTCGCTTTTATTGATAAACTTGCGTGTTCATTTCTGAGATTCTATAATATATATAATGTAGATTATATGCTAAATTTATCGATAAAAAATTGAGGTATGAATATGGACCATAGTGGTAACAACTTACAAATTTTATATGTAGAATTTATGTGCATAATTGAAGCTATCTTAGGATTATTGCAACTATATATAAAATATCATTAATTCTACATATAAAACATTACATTAATTCTACATAAAAAAAACTTGTATTGTTGTCACCTTTGTTGCTACCATTATGCTTTTCTCTGAGTGCAGTATAAGAACGAACAGGTGAAATAGCTCACTAGCCATTTTATTCACTGCGATTTCGGTTGGTCGACACAAGAAACAGCCATCCCCTTCTAATGCCATGCTGTTGATCAGCACGAAATGATTGTCTCTTAGACTCAGCCGTCGCACGTTCGGGCTTTTCATGCCATTAATGAAACGCTGATTACGATACGGCGTAATTGCTGAAAGCGTATTCCAGGAGTTCAGCCAGAAATATGTTATCAAAATATATGTTTACATTTAATTTAAATACGAAGGAGGAATTATACTGGATTTGTTGTTGTCAGAGACTGATCCTTTGAAGATATATTCTTTGCCGTACCATAATGAAATCCCATATCATGATTTCCAGCGACGACATAGATACGCGTGTCTTTAGGCACGTAGAATAGGGAATGGAATCTCTTTATGTAGTACTCGAACTCTGCGGAGCCGCACCATTTGCCCTCATCGAAAACATCTCCTAAATATTATGAGATGATGAAACAGCAAGTCTTTAAGCTGTATCAGATTAGATATTTGAGATTAAATTCGATTTAATCAATCAGAAAAAAGAAAATCAACATTTAGTTTAGTGAACTTTACTTTAATTAGTCAAATTCCAATCCAATTTCAATTTCTAGTTTGATACAGGTTTTAAAAAACTGTGAAGACACAGAAAAAGTCATGAACAATAACTACTTTCAGCAATTGTTATAAAATTTAATTGTAAATTTAAATTATTATACAATTCTTTAACATGATTGATCTATCCTCAGTTCCTCAATAGATTTAAACATATGAATTAATCATACTAAAGAATTTTACAACAGTTACAAAGCTACTTTCTCTATTAATCACAACCAATAATACATTAAAGCATTACTCACCTAATACGAAAACTACGTCCATTCGGTGTAATGTCATCATTGTTTGGAATGCTCTGTACATCTGCCATTCTCTGGAGCAACATACGTCAATTTTTTTCAGTAAACATCCAAATGCATTATATAAAAAAATCTTCAATATTCAATATGTAAGGCTTGTTCTCTTTAGCTGAACTTTTTGCACAACTCATCCTTTCTCTTTTTCTCCAATGTGGAAAGAAAAGGAGGAAAGATAAATCATGCAAGAAATTCAGCTAAAAAGAATAGATTTATAGTTGAAATTACAGGTTTGGAGGCACAAACCTTCGAAGTTTATCAAACCAATGGCCTTGTTTGGAACCTAATAAATGGGTATCTGCTATAAACATAGCTTTGACAGGTTTGTCTGCTGCTTCACCATGTAAAGTGGAGTCTTCCTTTTGAGGGTCCACAGTGGGCCATTGGCACTAAAAATCAAAGCGACTTCCAGAGTTTCCGTTAAGGACAGAGACTCTATGTTCCTAAGCAAGATATTTTTGCATGACACAGAAGTATCATAAAAACTCACCTGTATAAGCACCACGTAATATATGAGATATTCGCAGAAAAATAATACAAACACTAAAGCTAAACCCACATTGAGAAGGGCCCTGAGATGCAACATCCTTAAAACTCTTCAAAATTCATACAAAATTTTTTAAAGTACGAATCTATTTTATATTTATAGTTCCGATAACGTCATTTTTTGGCTGCCTGTGCACTATGTAAACCATGTATGTAATTGACATAAAACTACTATATTGCTGACCATTGCCACCGACGAGATACTATTAAAGACCGACATCCTTACGGGAGTTCGCGTCCTTGTGAATATTGAAGTGATCAAGAGTTAAAAACTGATAATATTGTACTAATTTTATGATTTATTAGTTTAGTAGACGTATTTATGCATTTATAACTCAATAATACTCGATTTTTCTTTAAAATTGAGATTTCAGTGTTATCATCAAAGTTTGATTATCAATAAAGATGATAATTGCACAGAAAAAAATTGTGATTTTTTTGCAATATATACGATATTACAGCTTTACAAGTATGTATATTTATTTATAGGACATTTATGTAATAAAAAATCATGAATTTAATAATGCATGAGCCAAATATATTTATGTTAATAATAGCAAATTTATATCAATTGTCGGTAATGTCAGCGTTCTTGAATTACCTCCGGGCCCTTGGGGCCCTTTTTATACCGCCGAAAATTTGCCCAGGGTTGACGGTCTTTAATAATATCTCGTCGGTGTCATTGCTGACAGAGCTTAAAAGCTGCCGAAAACATCAAGTACAGTGGAGACGCTGCAGGTGCAGACAAGTAATGCATATATATCAATCTTTCATTTACTACGTTTACACGGCACGCTTTACGCCGAAGTTACAACATCGATGTTATGAAACTGACCAATCACAGTCATTCCATGCTTCAGAGGAATAGCTATGATTAGCCAGTTTCATAACATCGATGTTTTAACATCAACGTAAAGCGTGCCATGTAAACGTAGTAATTGACCTCTGCTATACGGCACACTTAATCGGGTTTAATAACATCCGTAGTTATGAAATTAGCCAATCATAGCTTTTCGTCGGGAGAATGGAATGATTGTGATTGGCCAGTTTCATAACTACGGTTGTTATTAAACTCGATTAAGGGTGCCGTGTAAATGTAGTCATTGGCTGCGTTCAGCAGACTCAGCAGTTTTGCAACCGTTTTATGATTCGTCGCGCTGATTGGATCATACTTTTAGATTTAAAGGAATAGTCCTATCACAGCGAAGAATTACAAAAACGGTTGCAAAACTGCTGCAACCGGGAGCACATAGAAAAACGTAAGTCCGTAAGACGTAATCAGTAAGGAAATCGTAACATTGGATTCGCTACTGCCTTACGGTCTCTACTGTGATTGGTCAATTCATTTACTGCTTGCGTGTTACGGCCTTACGTTCTTGTATGTGTCATGGGCTTTAAAGGCCCGTCTACAATACACGGAGTAAGAAGTAAGAGTAAAAAATTGACCAATCACAGTCGAATGTGAGAAGAATAATCGACTGTGATTGGTCAATTTCTTACTCTTACTTCTTATTCCGTGTATTGTAGACGGGCCTTAAGCCCATAGAGACCGTAAGGCAGTAGCGAATCCAATGTTACGATTTCCTTACTGATTACGTCTTACGGACTTACGTTTTTCTATATGCTCCCGGCTTGAGTCTGCTGAACGCAGCCATTTTCTCTCATTTCCAGCATATGCGTATAACGTTTATCTCATATATACAGGGTTAGTTAAGTATATTCCCAAACTCAACAGAGCGATTCTTTGGTTTATTTCAAGTAAAAAAGTCCATATAAACATGTGTCCTAAACGACTTAGTTACCGAAATACAGGATAGGTCGAACAGGAACTCAGCCTTGGCCTCCTAGATCACCAGACTTAAATCCTTTGGATTATTTCCTTTGGGGGCATCTGAAATCATTGGTTTATACCACCACAATTGAGAATGAGAATGATTTGAGGAATCGAATAGTTGCTTCATGCGAGGCAATACCTTAGAATATATATAAATGGAACGGATATTGCCTATACTTCCTATGGATCGCGCTGATGCAAACGTCTGTGCGAGAGAGAAAGGTAGTAAGGGATAAATGTTCCCAATGCGCATGCGCAGCATCACGTTTTACACACTGTGTAATGGGGTGGCACCCAGTTGGACACGGCTGAATTGGACACGAGCCACTCACAGCGCTTGAGACTACAAAGCTCCTAAGCACTGGTCGCTGAGATTGGTGGTGTCCAATCGAGCCGTGGTCAATCGGGATCACCCCTGTGTAATGTACGAATGTGTAAAATCACTAAACCAACTGCACAATTCACACACATAACGGTGCTGCGCATACGCATTGTAAACATTTATCCCTTATTACCTTTCTTTTTCGCACAGATGTGGCTTCACGTTCAGCGCCCTATGCCCCTTCCATTTATGTATGTTCTAAAGCCTAATGTTCACGATACTAGAAATCGGTCCGAGATCTCAGATAGAGAAAAAATTAACAAATCACATTTGAACAATTTGATAACATGACCATTGCGATTGGTCAATTCTTTCTTCATCCGAGGTTTCGGAACGAGATTTCTAGCATCGTGGACACAAGGCTTAAGGGCAATACGGAACACACCAGGGGCTCTATTCTTGAAAAGAAACGTATACGAAAGTCTAGGGAAATACTATAGTATACGTAACGTATACTGTAGCATTTCCCTAGACTTTCGTATACGTTTCTTTTCAAGAATAGAGCCCCTGGTATCTTTGAGCGTGTACGTCAATCTTTGAGAAGGAGGCACGATGGATGTATTATGGCGTAAGGTGGACATTTTCAACAATTTATCTAATTGTTTTATTTCGTCAGAAGAACTGAAGAATGTTTTTGTTTTTCTGTTTTTGACTAGTTTTTGACTAGTTCAAGTTGTATTTCTTTCAAATAAACAGATTATTACTACACGTTTAAATTTTTTTATT